TGGGCCTCCCAACAGCGGCGGCCGGTGGGTCCCACCCAGCTCCACATTTCAGCAGGACCCAGCACAGCAATGTCAAGGGTCAGGACAAGGGGCTTTGGGGACGATCTAACAAACGCCTTGCCTGACATCTGGGAGGTGACAGCTCTTGTGACAAGGAGTCAGCTCTGCTTGGGACGGAAAAGAATGGAGAGTGAGCCTGGCTGGAAGTGACAAGCCTCAGGCCTGCCGTCCATCTCGCTGGGACGGACACCGGCCCCGCCGCCGCCTGGTTAACGGGACGTGTTGCTTCTCCCGAGGTCGTGCTGGAAAATGCCGCAGCACCCCCCTTTTGATGTTAATGGGTCACTTTCTTACGAATGACCCCCTAGACCCGCCTCATATTTCCATTTAGAGGGGGACCCCCCGCTGTGGCCTCACCTCCCGACAGCAGACAGCAACGCTTATAACCCGGGCTTCTCCTGCGCGGCTCAGAAATGGAGTCCTCGGGCGGGCGGGCGGTCCCACGTCCCGGACCCCCGCGGAGGGCCGGCCGTGCTCCCTGTGAGCTGGGGGGCTGGGAGGCCACGGGACAGACCGCTTGGGCGGGAACTGAGTCCGGGGAGCTGTGCACGGCTGAGACAGCTCCTGCCAAACGGAGCAAAAGCTGCTTCCCTTTGGAAGGCGGCACAGAAGTCAGGGGACACCCAGGGACAGATGCTGGGAGCCTCCAGGTAGTAGGGCGCATCTGGAGTCCCTTCTCCCACCCCTGGGGAGAGGCCCCGGCATCTCCATCCCCACCTGAGGTGCCGTCCCTCTACTCAGAGGGGGCCCTTGGGCTGGGGACCGTCTCTGGGCGGGCAGGCGTGGCGGCCTGTGCTCTGCACTCCTCTCCCTTCCCCTCCCGGCTCCTGGTCCCTGTCCCTTGCCCACCCTGCCCTGGCGGTCTAAGGAGGGAAACCACTGTATTTTGCTGGGTATAATGTGCACTGTTTTTGCCCAAATTTTTGAGGGGAAAAATAAGGATGTGCAATATACACGGGTAGCACTAATTCCTTATCTATATAAATGTTTTTAATTCTTTTATTTATGCTTACATGTCAAAAGTATAACTCTAGAAAGCACTAACAATATCCATACGTTCAAAACTAAATGCTAAAATTCCTTTATGATGCAAAAAACAAGTATCTAAATATAAATAAATAAATAATTTAATTAGAAAATGAAAACATTTTTTTCCCTGAAAGTTTGGGCCAAAAATGGGCATGCATTATACACAGCAAATACGGTCCGATATGCCCGAGTGTCTGGGGCTCAGGTCAGGAACCTTTCTCTTTTAACTCTTATTCTGCTTCAGGTTGGGTCGGCTTAAGAGAAGGCTCTTAAGTTCCACGTGTGAGACCAAAAAAGGAAAGAAATGCACAGAAAAGCCAAATGAGCACTTTGGGAGACGGCCTTGTACTGAAGCCTAATCAGTCCGACTGCACCCGGGCGGCCGCTGGGAACCAGGCTGGACCCCGCAGGCCCAGTGGGCAGCGGCAGGGAGCCGGGGCGGGGCTGGGGGCGGGGCCCGCGGCTCGGGTCTGCTTTCCGTCCGCCCGCAGTCCTTTCTGGAACGTCCTCTGCAGCCCGTACCACCCCACCCCCTTTTTAATATCCCTGACGTGAAGAGGTTCTGCTCATCTTTCTGTGGGTTTTTTTTTGAGGGGGTAGTTTTAACCCCACAGTGTCAGAGGGGAAGAAAAATAAGCCGGCCAATCGGGCTCCTTGTCCCCAGAGGTTAAAAGGCACGTTCAGCCTTAACACCATGGGACAGTAATCGAGTCCGAGTCCAGCCCTCCCTGGGCCCCTGGGAGCCACCTTCCCCCTCACCTGGCGGCAGCTGGCTCGGCCCCGTTCCCACTTCCTCGCTAAGCCAGCGCCCCCCTCCCGCGCAGCCCACCCCCCACCCGCCCTGTGAGCCTTTCCTGCCCGCACACCCAGGCAAGAGAAAACAAAGCAACCCTTCGAAAACCTGCCGTCTACATTAAACATGCTTTCAAATTGTCATCCCTGATGTGGGTTCCTGCCTTTAAACTAAAGAAACTCCTCTGCCCTGTGTGTCCTGCTGCTAACCACGCGGTCTTCACTGCATTTTGTCCCTGTCATCTCCATCAGTGTGGCCTTTTGGACGGGAGCTTCCGCACCCCAGATCTGGCAGCTGCTTTGGACTCACCTGGTACAACACCAGGCTCTAAACAAACGTTTAAAAGGAAAGGACGATGACATAGCTCTTGTAGGGAAAGGGTGATGCAGGGGACCCGAGTCTCCAGGAAGCAATTTATTCTGCCGTTGTTTCTTTAAAAAAGAAAAAAATCAGCTGCACACGATGAATGCTGCTGATTTGCTAGGCTTTAGAGTGATTCATACACCAGAAGACACAATGAAAGCCCAGCAAGAGTTTTTATCTTAACTTAGCGGGGGAGGAGGGGAGTAGAAGTGAATCGAAGGCCCAGCCAGCTCTGCCTTGGAGCTCACGCGCTGTATCTTAGGATGGTCAACACCCAGCAAAGCTTCCCACACATCTGTCTTCTGCAGTCACTGGGGGCCACTCGGGGTATAAGGAAACCCATGAGCTCCAGAGGGCGGTGAAGGAGAGCAGTCCCGCTGTCTAACGCCGGCTGCGATGCCGGCGAGGGTGGACGTGGGAGAGGGGTGGGTGGGTCCCCTAATTTGATGGGCTCAGTACAATGAGGTGACCATAAGTCAAGCCTGGGATGTACCACCCGCCCCTTCTGCCCTGTGGTCTCTTCCCAGGAGGCAGGACAGCTCCTCCTCCAGAGAGAGAAGCCTTCCCTTCCCTCTTCGGCGGCCGAGAAAACGGCGCCACTGCCGCTCAGCTCGCGGCCGGCGGGAGCGCTCCTCGGGCCGGAGGTGCAGAGCGCGCGCGATGTGCCTGTCCGGGGAGCCTGGGGGCCGCGCGTCTGGCCTTTCGGTAACGTGAGACCGCAGGCCCTTCGCTGCAGCCTGCGCGGGGAATGCCAGTCGTCTCAGGTGGTCAGTTCTCGAGTTTCCTTTGGAACGACCGGCAGTTTAATTAAGCTGTGATGGAGACAAATCCCCGTGTTTTCTGGATTCGTTCCCCATCTGAGTTTCCACTGGAAGCCAGTAGGCTTGCGCGCCCTCAGGGGCGCACCCACGTGCTTCTGCCAGAACCTGCTCTGTCCCTGCCCTGCCCAGAGCAGACTCAGCACCCTTGGGAGCTCCTGCCCAGGATCCTCTCTCCGATGTCCTGACTCCAAATGAGACCCCCAAAATTCAACCGTCGGTTTGAAACCTGAATAGGGGCCGTGCCAGGCACCTGCCGACCTCCTGAAATCGCGCACTGACGGGGCTGGGAGCCCTCGCGAGTGTGCACACAGGGCGCACGTGCAGGTCCCAGCCCGGAGGCGACCAGCGCAGCTTTGTACAACTTGCATTTTGTTTGAGTAGATGCCTATGGCTGGAGTACACAAAGGCGTTTGAAATGAAGTAACAGACAACCGTCTCTTTCTCTTGAAGATGCAAATGTTTCTCTCTCCAGCTATGGGGTCGGGTTCGGGCCACCTCGAGGCCTTGGCCCTGCTCTGACGAGTCGTCCCTTTGCGGTGCCACGGTAGGCGCCCAGGCACCAGAGGAAAACGTGGGGCAAGGACCCTGGCATGACGGACTTTGCATTGGATGGGTGATTGCACCCAACGGGCCCCAGGCACAAGGATGGAACATATTGTTTTGCAAATAAAATTTGGCTTTATGATCTTATTAACCTTTTTAAAGACATATTTATATAAAGTAGCATTCTAATGCAAGGTAAGTAGGTCCAGTACCCAAACCATATCAGAAATAGTAGCAGAAGTATTTGCAAGTTCCGAGGTGGTGAAAGAAATCAAGAATAAGATATTTTTATCATTTTTTTCCTCACCAGTGAGTATTTTGAGGTTTAAGAAGTCACAGATCAGATCAGGAGTGATCCATTTGGACAACTGTACACAGCTTGTATTGAGTCAAATGCAGATTTGATGGCTTCATTGAAAGGGTTTCAGAATGAGAGCAATAATTTTGGATTCTTGGCATAACCTAAGGTCGCTGAGTTTTTAAATTGCTCAGTTTGAAAGGGCTCGTATTTTAAAATACACGCATACCTATATACATACAATTACGAATGATGCGCTACGTCTCCTACTGTCGAGAACAGATAGAGGTTGAAGGCCAGTAAACACTAAAACTCCTGGCTAGACATCCCATTCTCCTGACTGACCTTTTTTCATTTTCCGTGTTGGAGTTCAGGCCAGCCGAAGTCGTCATACTTAAATAGCCTCGTCCAGTCACCCACGCGTGCACACAGACACACACGAATGCACACAGTTCTTGGAAAAGAGAGCGTCGGCGAGCTGTGTCCATGCGGACTGCCCCAGGGGACGCCACGCTGTGGTTATTATGCCGGGGCTGCCACTGGGGGAAACCGGCGGAAGGGCCCGCGGGCCCTCTCCGGTTATTCCTTACAACGGCATGTCAATCTATAATGACCTCGAAATAAAAAGTTAAAAGAAAAAAGGCAAGAAAGGGAACATGTTATAGTGCCATTAGTTTTTCAAATGTGTGTGTGCATCGCGTATCTATACATACGAGACTCACCTGCACCCATGCACACACGAGACCCGTGTACATTCCCGTACCCATGCACTTCTGCAGAGACAACGAGGAGACCATTAACACTGATTCCTTCTGAGGAGGGGAACAAAAACAAAAACACACACCAAACGCGCATTTACGTTTCATAGGCTACCCTCTGCGCCTGCTGCGTTTTGTGCTCTCAGCATCACTCACTCAAAAACCAACTTTTTAAGAGTGAGGACAAAAGAGACGCTTCAAAACAAAACCAGACAAACACAAACAAAAAGTACAGCTAAGAGCACAGCGCGAGCTGCGTGAACCTGTCTGAAGCCCGAGTTCTGACCGCGCCCAGCAGGGAAGGTGCAGAGAGAGAAGGATCGTGAGTTTCTTACGGCTGGAGATGCAGTAAGACAGCCGGCAGTTGAGCTTCCGGAAGAGCTGCTTGTTGATTGGCCAGAGGACGAGGGAGAAGAGCTGAATGGTGTTGATTATTAGCCCCGAGGCGATGAACACGTAGCAGAAGACGAGGTGGCACAGGAACTGAGACTTCAGCAGCCCGATGAGGTCCATGGCGGGCGGCTGCTTTTATTCCAACCAGTGAAGACCCGTAGTAGAATCTCCCCAGTTGGAAAAAAGGGCTGGGACTCAGGAAGGCGTCTAAAACACAGACCAATGTCAAATGTTAGGAAAAAATAACAGGTACTTTCGTAGTCAGGGAAAAAAACCTCTTGTCTCGAGATTCAACATGTTGTCCATTAGTTGATGTGTCCTTATTTAGCAAATATAGTGCTTACTTAGCGTCAGGCAAAGGATCGGCCCTTGAAAACAAATAGTCCCTTTAATTGTCCTGACACCCGGACAGGTGGGTACTGCTGTCACACAGGATGGAACCAAGACCCTCGGAGGTGAAGCCCCTTGGCCCGGGTTCCACCGCTCCGGCCACTGAGAAGCGGCCCCGCGGGCCGGGGTCCCCGCTCACTGCTTTGCCAGCTCCTCTCTCTGGGGCGGGGTGGGGGGGTGGGGTGGGGGGGGTGGGCGCAGTGGTGGTGCTCACAGTAGTGTCCGCATCTCTGGGTCGTCCCTCCAGCTACCGCCTCTGCCTGAACACCACCCCCACCAGCACCCCCGGCTCCCGCCACTCATCTCATCCCCCAGGTCTCCACACGAACGTCACTTCTGGAAAGGCCCCCCTGAACACGAGCCAGCTCCTGGCGAGATTACGGGGTGACCATGGGCGCCGCCATCCTGGCGGGCCACTGCGTGCGCTCCCTCGTGTGCCTCGCACCCCGCCGGCCCGCGCTCCGGGGCGCGCGATCACCAGGAGCCTCGTCGGGGTCTCCCCGAGCGCGTGCGCGCGTGCGCACACTCCAAACCCAGAATAAACGCAAAGCGCACACAGCAACCAGGCTCACGTTCTGTCATCAGTTTCCAACCCAAGATGGGAGCAACAAAAAGACTTTATGGGCGTGGCACATAGAGCCTTTGAGGAAAAGTGTAAAGGTGGGAGGTCCGCACACGCCGAGGGAAAAGAGAGCGCGCTGAGGGGGTGGTGCGCAGCGCTAATGTCTCAGGAAGGAGGGCGTCACTCGCAGCAGAACATCATCGCCTGGCAGCCCCGACGCGCTCAAACTTGAGGGCTCACTTTCAAACAGCAATAGTTGAGAGACCCTAGGCTTCGTTTCCGATCTTTATTAATAATACCAAAAACATCTGTGTAATCATTTCACAGACACCATCACGTGTTAAGCCCCCCACGAATCCTGCAAGGTGAGTGTTGTTATTATCTTGGCTTTCAGAATAAGAAACTGGGTGCCCACAGGTTGGGCAGGGTGCCGGAGATTGCACCAGGGGTAACGGCCTGAGGACTCAGTCTCAGCTCCCAGCTCCTTCCCCCGCAGCTGCCTGGGTGGCCTCTCTCACTTCCCGGGTGTGAGGGGGGTTCCCCGGGGCATGAACATCCCCCACACAGAGCAGCGCAGAAACGACCTCAAGGGCACAGACCTGTTCAGCCATCAGTGAAATTCATGATCATGAACCGCACACAGGGCTGCACAACGGGACCTGCTCTGGGCCCCGCAGGCCGGTCTCAAGGACCATCTCAGGTGTGTGTGTGCCTCTAAAACGCTGACAGGTGCTTAGGCGATCTGGAAGGTACGCTGCGTCCCCGCCTGATTTCCGTGCATTTCTGACAGGAAGGAAATAGAGAGTAACCTCTGTCCTGATTTCTCTGAGGTCGGCTCAGCTCAGCCGAGATGTCCCTTCCCCCCAGAGGCCTGCTCTCTCTGGGGCAGGCAGCCACGTCCCTGACCTCTCCCCGGCGCCTTCCCAGACCTCTGCAGGCTGTCGAGCTCCTTCCAACGCTCCCAGTGCCAACAAACACGCCCCGTCTCTCTCCAAGGAATTGGTGTGAGGCACAGCCTCAGCGCGCTTAGCTTTTAGGAGCCACATAAATAGGACGGAGGTACCTCGGCCTGCTGTTTGGCATGGTTACAGTCCGATGTTGAATATTCCTGTGCTTTATTCATTGTCCCTGGATTAGCCACTAAAAGCTGCCAGGTGATCTGGCCCGAAGAAACTGCATCCTCCACTAGGTTTCTGGGATCTAGTGTTTGTAAAGTGTTTGACAAACCCTTTGCTGTGCTGCCTTAACACTCAGAAGCAGAGGGAACTGACGTTGGAGGCGCGTGGGGTGGAATGCTGCCATCCTCAGTTTTCAGTCCACAGGAGGGCACTATGAAGAAAGGTACGTTGTTTTCCCTTGCAAAAGACCGAGGACCACCGCGCCCTCCAGTAACACCCTCATCAGCGCGGCACGAACCCAGTGAGGTAGCGCAGTGTGGGTGCTATTTAAGGAATCACTGACAAGCCTTCCGGGGGGGTTACAGGCAGGCCTTGTCTGGTTCGGTTCTCCACACACGTCCTCAAATCATAGAGTATGGGGGAAATGCCAGAATTTAGATATATTATTTGAATTCTTCAAAAGGTACAATATAATCCAGGAGCTTAAAGCTGGCTCTATAATTTTCATTATTTTTAGAGAGAAGGGAAGAGAGGGAGAAAGGGATGGAGAAACATCAATGTGTGGTTGCCTCTTGCACGCCCCCAGCTGGGGACCTGGCCTGCAACCCAGGCAGGTGCCCTGACTGGGAATCGAACCAGCGACCTTTTGTTCGCAGGCCGGTGTTTAATCACTGAGACACACCAGCCAGGGCAGAACCAGCATTTTAAACATAGACAAAAAGCAACTGTTCCTAAGAAGCGTCACGAGGTTCAAAGTAGTGGACTCCAAATTACCTTTATTTCCCAGGCTGCTGAGAGTTCAGGAGATTTGGAATTTAACTAATCATTTGACAAAGTCTCTGCCAGGCCAGTGCATATTGTTGGGGAAGCGTCTACATTAAATTGGTGCATAGCAGTTTGGAAAAATAGATTACTGTCATTAATGTCGCAGGAGGCTTCTTAGTCAATAGAAGGCGTCTTCCTCCCTACGCACAATTTGGGTGTAAAAGTAAGTTGTTCACACAAGGATGGGGACACCAGGGAACACAGGGAACCCTGGATGCCTGTGTTAACAAAGGCGTTAAGCCAGCGAGGACAGGCCTTTGAACCACGTGGGACTGCACTGAGTGAGAAATACTAACAAAGAAGCAGGGTCAGGAACGCGTTTATGTCGTTCACGCCGACATCTATTTCTATAGTCATAGCTACCTATTAATAGTGGCTCCTTTTTGGTGGAGGAAAAGACAGGCTTCCCAAAACGCGAACTGCGGTTACCTGTGCGCGCGCACACAGCGAGGTAAGCCAGCCGACCTGAGGTCCGGGCTTGGCCTCCAACCGCCCGGCGCCTTCCCCCTTGGGAGGCGAGCTCCAACACCCCTCGCAGGCCGGGCCCTCTCTGCCTCCGACACAGAAGGCGGGCGCCTCAGAAGCCAGGCTCCCGCGGTGTTTCTGTGGGACCTTCCTCAACAGTGATGACGGTGACGCGGCTCCGATCACTCCCTCGGTTCCCGTTTCCGGTGAAGGATCCAAACAGGTGAGCTTTGAACCAGATGAAGAAAACAAAACCTCTGCCGGGCTTGGCCGGCAGAGCAGCAGGACCGCCGTGGGGCCAGGGTGCGCTTTGTCTTGCGGTCAGCATTGTTGGTCCGTGGGATAGAGGGCGCCCAGGGACAGGGAGCCCCTGGATGAAAGGAACAACTGAGTGCGGTCCCAGGGCGTGCGTGAGGGGGTGTCCTGGCTGGGGAACATTCAGATCTCAGGTTCTGTGTTAGACGAGGGAGTGTAGCAAAAATGTCCCAGAAGGTGGGAACCCAAAGGCGGCTGCCTTGGTGGGCCTGACAAACTCAGTAACAAAGTAACCCTGCAGGATGGTGTGATCATACAAAAGATACATAAATAGCCCTGGCTGGTGTGGCTCAGCGGATTGAGCACCAGCCTGTGAACAGAAGGGTCCCGGTTCGATCCCAGTCAGGGCACACGCCTGGGTTGCGGGCCCCTACGTGAGGGTGTGCGAGAGGCAACCACGTATTGATGTTTTTTCCCCCTCTTTCTTCCTCCTTCCCCTCTCTCTCTAAAAATAAGTAAATAAAATCTTTTAAAAGATACACACACAACTCTTAGCTGAGCAAGTTGTGGCAGGAAGTCACATCCTACGGCCTCTGTGGAAGATGAGTCTCTGTCTGGAACAAGACCTGTGCGTGCTTTTTGCACGTCTCCTCTGTGATGACACACTTCAAGTGTCAAACAAGACTGTCTCAACATGCCTCACTGTCAACATTCCTCGCTGTTACCTTTGCCGCATCCCTCGGGAAACTGGCTGTGAAATGTCAAGCAGCCTGCGCACATCGGTGTGAGGGAGGAAGGCGCCTTTCACCCACTGCTAGAGGTTCCCCACTTGACTTTCTCCTTACTCTGCCACCAAGGGGTTCCACGGAACCCTCCTCACGTCTTCTCTTTTGATTCTAATGTATAAAATAAATTGCAAAACCGTGACTCTCTGGAGCATTTTCTCAATCCCTGGAGATTTTGCTTCTGGGACCAGTCCCCAAACCCTTGGCTTATGATAAAGTCTTTAAGCTTTTCTTGAAGTTTGGAATTTCTTCTTTCCTAGACAAAGGCAGCAAGAAACTTGTGGAGGCCCGAGGCAGTCGCTCAGCAATTAGCCTGACAAACAAGGACAGATTTTGGTTTTGGATTTCTGGGAGTTAGAGCAGCCTAAGGCACCCAAAGACCTAATTTGACTGTCTCTGGGACCATCTCTAACTGAAATACCCCTCAATTAAAAAATCATCATTGTCTACTGGTTTGGCAGGAGCCTATATAAAATTAGCTCATTTTAAAATTTGATGGAGCAGCCCTGGGTCCGATATCCCTGTAGAGCACACGATGTCCGTTACAACAAGCCAAACGCCAAAGAAGTCTTCAATTATCCCTGACTTTTTCATTATGTCCTCTAATAAATGACCCTCACCCTCTCTCCAAAGTCTACTTTTAAGATGATGAAAACTCAAGTCTATAGAAAACGGAGGAGTCCACGTTTATATATAACAGTTGGTTCTGAGGAGTTCATAGGAGGAAACAAATTCTAAAGGGCTTTTATGTCTCACCCCAGGAAACCAAGACTCGGTAAACAAGATGAACAAACTTGGTACCTTTGT